AAAATCAGTTTAAGCGACTGTGGTTTATGTAAGCATTTCCTTGTGCAATAAGTTCAGACACAGGACCTTTCCACATCTTTGGAAATATTAAACGAGGTCATCTTTGAAATACAATGCTTCGTGATCCGCGCGGGGGCTTTTGTAAGCACACGATGCTTGACGATAATGTTCGCCCGCGCCTTTATTTGTTCGGAGTATCGATTTTGAAAGACTAGAATTCCGATAGTCGCTTCAAGTTTTAACGAATTTAATCGGGCTTTCTATACACGTAATGGGGTCCCAGGTGAATACTGCCGCCCGACATCGTTCCGAATGGCTGTGTCCTGGAATCGCATACATGCGTTACCACAAAAGGCGAATACAGCGACTCGATTATTGCCAAACTGCAATTTATGCCAACCGCGTACAAGAATATTGTATCAAATGCCAATATTATTTCATTCTCAGAATTAATATCGAACAATTTTTATCTTGCTGAAAAATCCGTAGAGAAAATCCTGACATACAGGTTCCGTTTGATTGACACAGTCGATTACCCCGGGAAACTATCTCTCTGCGTAATCAAGTCTTCCGCAGCAATTTCAGGAAAACCCGTAACGGCGTCAAATCCTCAAATTAAGTGCTCTCGTCGAAATTAAGAGGCAACATTTCACTAATAATACGAGCCCAGCGCAAATATTTGAATCATTTTAACACGTCTCACATTTCTAAAATAAACTCGCCATGGTTGAAGCGAAAGTTGCTAATATCAAAGCATACGTCGCTGTACGAATTTGTTCAACCTAAACGTGATAAATGAATTCGACTAAATTTTTCTGACGGTGGCCTGCCGGAAAGTTAGTAGTGCAAACTACATGGTAGTTTCACGAGTCTGGGGGGTGTTCTAAATGGGTAGCCCTATCCATTTCTCCACCGGGACGCGTAATATACTCAGTAGCTTGTGTATGATGAAACATGCAAATGACGGTCTAAAGTATGTTCAGACGGAAAAGCGGCATTTGTCTTGCACCTTGCGTCGCCGGATTAAAGTCTCGTGCTGAACTGAATATGCTATAAAAGGACTGGAAAATTAACATACAGTAATCTTGAGGTGCAAAAGGCCTGCCAATCTCGTATCTATAGCGTTTCCATTTTTTATTAACTGTTCTCTGGTTAATGTATCGATCGTAGAATAACCAGACAATTAATCATAGGGAATTAGGCAATTACGTCTATGAAACAAATATCTTCATTAATCTTCTCAAGGATGGTAGTTCTTCTGGATCTTCAAGGATCTTCTGAGTAGAGAGTACTCTGGATGTATCCGCTAATTGATTAGATTACTGATATGTTTCTTTCCCAGTTAGATTGGAGAAAGCTTTTACTCACTTCGACCTATCTTACTTTCCACGCTGTTTGGTTAACGCCGAACAACCCTTGAGAAACCGCCTTTGTGGAAAAAGACGATCAAGTCGTATTTGCGAATATGACTTCATCTCCCATGCTTATGGCTAAGATTTATTCCATGTTTGGCTTTGATGCTTTTCTCTTATTGTTTAGAGTTTCGGAAGAAAAACAATTCAAAGAGAACTTTCCCGACCACTTTCCTTATGACCAGAAATCTTTTGCCAACTCTGCCGCCCCGAGGCAAACCAAACGGAGAATTTAAACGCGTGAAATTGTGAATGCGGCACAATCTAAATGAAGATTCATAAAACGTTTTGATAAAACATGGTACGCGGAGACGAGGTCGATGAATATGCATGAGTCTTCAGGTAGGGTCTTGCTGAACACGTGAGAGGCTCCAAGCGCTTTATAATTGAAAGATAAATGTACAAGACCCTTTAACGAGTTTCGAGAAAGATAATAAAAACGAATCGCTTGTCCTCGCGTGAAGATATTCCCAGAGATTGTTCCATATACCAACTATCATAGGAGAAGAGATACGTGTTGCCTCAGTCTGTTAGAAAATGAACCCTTCTCGTATATGAACCCGACGGGTTGCCTTTGAAACCAAATGTCGAAACCATACATTCGACTTTTCAATGCCGTTCTTCAATTAATTTTATTTTACGCATTGGGAAATTAGATGGCTTAATTATCCTAACATTAAGTTTGTACATATGAAATCGTATATCATGTTATCATAAATACTATTGAAAATGAAATAATTTGGTGTATAGTAGAAAATATCCGAGCTGCAGTGTAAGGAAATACATGATATTCCACAAGATCTACATGTGTTTGGAGAGAATGTACCAAGCTAATAGATCACGTACTGAATATCGGATCAGTGAACTTGGATCAGAATTATTTATTTCACGACAGCTGTTCACGCGTACTTTTCTGGTTTGGCCAGCGACCAAAATTCAAACTGAGTTGAATGTAATCCATAGTGGCGCGTTTCAATCCAAAAGTCTGATCGTGAAGGAAATCATAAGCGAAGCTTTCAACATCCATTTGCCCAAACTTTAATATTCCATCAAAATAACAGAAAAATTATTCACGTCACTAAAATTGATTCAGTATGTAATGGCAACGAATTGTTTCGTATTTATCAAACGTATTAAAACCTAGCTTTCTGCTGGCGTAATTTATTGTACACACTAACAGCTGATACAAATTCGCGGATTAGAGCCGTCCATATTCGTGAAAATCCATCAATTTTTAACGATCCGGTTGCTAGAGCAGTTTCACATTGATTAATCGACTTGTTTGTGTTGTGCGTCCGTCACAGGTATTTATCGTATACGAGAGAGTACGTGTGCGTTTCGTTCCATTTAAATACTCACCGTTTCGCTGATGCATTTCGATTAATTCAGGTTTTTAAAAGATCTTACTTGAAGATTTCTCTGTTATTTATAAATCACTATCAAAATTATATCTATATATTAACATTAGAATTATATTTTGGATTGTTATTCAAATAGAAATTATGCTATAATTTATATTGTGAGATCATCGTATTTGCAATTCCAGCACATTGTACAATTGTTGTTGCCCATCCGAGATATACAACAATAATACACAAACATGGTAACATGTTCAAATCTAATTTTGAAAGCAAACTAGGAAGTTGAGAGTGGTTTTTGCACCATCTGAATAATTCTAATTTCCTTGCATTTACTGAGTTCCGAGAGAGGTTGCTCAAAAGTTGGACACGAACTGTATAACTCGAGGATGGAAAAATCTTCTAATCGCGACTACGCCGCGAAAATCCGTTTCAAATTTCACTTCAGAAAAACCAGCATATGCAAAAGTAACTTGAAAAAACATGCAGCTATCGATTGGTAAGTCCCAGGGCATTGAGAAAAACAGCAAACTGTTATAATAAAACAGTTTAATATCATTCAGATTTGTTATTGGAAATAAATTAATCGCCAGTTTCACCCACGAATTTCGCTTTAACGGCATATTCGTTGATCCCTTATACAAACATAACACCGTTTGCCATGGAATGATAATATTGAATCTTTGGAAATGAAAATACGAAATAAGAGATCTTCTCTGAAATATACATAATGATGCATAATTAACTATCCACGATAATTATCGTCTCTGGAATTCGAAAATTTAAGAATTAACGAGGGTGAAGTGTTAACGAGGACGTTTTAACATAGTATTGAAAAGAGGAAAGTCGGTCGAAGGGGCATCTTCCGTACTTGCCGAAGCTCACCAACAAGTCAAGTCTTTCAAGTGTTTCTGTGACCCATTTTCGAGAAGCTCTCTGAATAAAGCGACAACGGAAGGCCATAGTTCAAACCCACACGTTATACAAGTTTGTTATCTTGAAACACCTGTAATGCCTATCAAAGGCGTTAAGTATTTTATCTATAAGCAGTTTTAGAACAAGATGTTTAAACTGCCTCGAAAGTAAGTAGTCTCAGGATCTGGTCGATAAGTAATTAGACACTTGGTCGACCACGGGTGCAATAGAATTCAATGGGAATTCACTTTGTGCGTGGAAAGCAGCCGAGTGTTTGAAATGGACGTTTTGAAGACCGGATTTCCAGTCAGCCCTATTATCCGCGAGGAACTTTGTCGAGGTGGAAGACGATCAAACGTGATGTATGGCCTGTCACGTCGGGGAAACTCTTAACTTACTGTACCATTCATGCTATCTCTCCTTTTCTTCAACGAACAATGGGACTCGGAGCACGTTAAATCCATTCCTTTTTTTCTATCCTATCTGCACTCCCATGGTTATTGACAACAATATTATCATATGGAATTTTATGAAAATATCATATAAATACATTAATACTGTTCTGTTGATATACGAGTAGCTTTTTAACCGTAGTTCATTGTAATTCTATTCTACTATACTTGAAAACTCTTTTCTATTAGATCTTTCCCACTATTGACCTGGTATTGGAAAGAATCTCATATATCTCGGGTTCAGTTAGCTGCGATAAAAGTACCGCGGATGACTTTCCGTCGATTGACTTATTTCTTGGAAAGCACGTAGATATTGGACGGGGAATCGCGACCGACCCTGGCCGAACTCCAGTTTCGACGCGACCCCACGTTGACCCGTTAATCTAGATACTTGCCAGTCTCCAGTCTCGAATATCCTGGCTTATGACGAGTTTATTCGTGCGAAACAAATCCCCCGTTCTGTGCCAATCTTTGAAACATACCAACAACAAAAATGGTATCTCTCTGTGTCAGACATCGAAAAACTTCTAACAATTTTCCATCTCCGGATCGAGCAAGCGTGGAATACGTGGTGATCGAGAAACTTGAAAATTGGATATCCGGTTCGAATACGATTGCGATATCTCGCTGAATTGGGAGTGATTCGCGATCGATTTACAACTCCCGGAGCAGCCTCTGGTTTCAATACAAGCGCGCATTAATTGAAAGCAAACAATCGTCGACCAAGAAAAACAGACGAGCCGAAATTCGTATTTATGTAACTGCATTCCGTATTAGCTTTCGGAGAAACCCTAATACGAAAAAAAAAAAAAAATTAGAAATATCTGACGGTAGGTAACGAGTTAAATATTTTCTTGTTACAGGAAACATGGTGCAAGAGGTGGTGGCACATGTCTCAAAGAAACTTATCCCTGACGACGAGCTTCCTTGCTCCGAGCTTGAGTCCTATTCTGGCGATGGGAATGGAGGATCCGAAAGCGAAAGAAAAGAAGACGAGATTAACGAAAGACGATAAGGCTGAGAAGAGCGCGGTTCCCGAATGCGCCGAGGGTGGTGAGTCAATCGAAGCTAACAAAAGTATTTTTATCTGCGAACGCTTTTCAAAACGTGTTACAGACGTTAACTGCACGGCTCCGTAAATAGAGTGATATATTTAGGTTTATGTGAATTCTGCTAACGTTCGACGGTCGGTATAAATTAATTTTCAGATGACACGGCCTGTCTACAAATACAGCGATTTGATCAATGTTAAGAATATGAAATGTATATTTCCTGGCGCTTTTGAATGAAAATCGAATAGTTTCATGCTAACAGCAATTTAAACTTGTTTATTTGTTATTAAATATTTATTTCCTGGCGAAGTAACAATCTATGCAGCTTCGTTATGTACAAATTGTTCGACTACAATGAATCGTTAAAATTCCATCGCTCGATATCATTGGAATTCAAATCTGCGTTTACGCTTAACTGAATCTGGCTCGTTGCTAAGAAACCTTGAATATAAATAACAACTGTACATCTCTCTACTCCGGTATTCTCAAACGAGTCAAACATCGTTTCAAAAAACCAGAGCATAATTGGATCACGCTTCTGGGAATCGTCCCAAGCATCGTTTGGGAATACCACAAAAGTATCTCTATTCGCGTACTACTGGATCCTTTGGCATTCTCCCACGCTCTACTAGAAAAAAAAAATACCAAATACATAGTGGGAATGTTTTATCTCTTCAAGAAGTCTCCATACGTTGGCCCTCGCTCCCGTTTAGACTATCTTCGAGTACCTCGAACTCTTCGAACTCCATCTTGCCAAAATCGTCGCCAGTCCTCCAATTGTTCTCGTTCACTTGCCATCTAGTCAAAGCACTGCCTATGAATCGACTGGGATAATTCGACTTGGCGTCTTCCAGGCTGCCCAGCTTTATATTGTGAGATCATCGTATTTGCAATTCCAGCACATTGTACAATTGTTGTTGCCCATCCGAGATATACAACAATAATACACAAACATGGTAACATGTTCAAATCTAATTTTGAAAGCAAACTAGGAAGTTGAGAGTGGTTTTTGCACCATCTGAATAATTCTAATTTCCTTGCATTTACTGAGTTCCGAGAGAGGTTGCTCAAAAGTTGGACACGAACTGTATAACTCGAGGATGGAAAAATCTTCTAATCGCGACTACGCCGCGAAAATCCGTTTCAAATTTCACTTCAGAAAAACCAGCATATGCAAAAGTAACTTGAAAAAACATGCAGCTATCGATTGGTAAGTCCCAGGGCATTGAGAAAAACAGCAAACTGTTATAATAAAACAGTTTAATATCATTCAGATTTGTTATTGGAAATAAATTAATCGCCAGTTTCACCCACGAATTTCGCTTTAACGGCATATTCGTTGATCCCTTATACAAACATAACACCGTTTGCCATGGAATGATAATATTGAATCTTTGGAAATGAAAATACGAAATAAGAGATCTTCTCTGAAATATACATAATGATGCATAATTAACTATCCACGATAATTATCGTCTCTGGAATTCGAAAATTTAAGAATTAACGAGGGTGAAGTGTTAACGAGGACGTTTTAACATAGTATTGAAAAGAGGAAAGTCGGTCGAAGGGGCATCTTCCGTACTTGCCGAAGCTCACCAACAAGTCAAGTCTTTCAAGTGTTTCTGTGACCCATTTTCGAGAAGCTCTCTGAATAAAGCGACAACGGAAGGCCATAGTTCAAACCCACACGTTATACAAGTTTGTTATCTTGAAACACCTGTAATGCCTATCAAAGGCGTTAAGTATTTTATCTATAAGCAGTTTTAGAACAAGATGTTTAAACTGCCTCGAAAGTAAGTAGTCTCAGGATCTGGTCGATAAGTAATTAGACACTTGGTCGACCACGGGTGCAATAGAATTCAATGGGAATTCACTTTGTGCGTGGAAAGCAGCCGAGTGTTTGAAATGGACGTTTTGAAGACCGGATTTCCAGTCAGCCCTATTATCCGCGAGGAACTTTGTCGAGGTGGAAGACGATCAAACGTGATGTATGGCCTGTCACGTCGGGGAAACTCTTAACTTACTGTACCATTCATGCTATCTCTCCTTTTCTTCAACGAACAATGGGACTCGGAGCACGTTAAATCCATTCCTTTTTTTCTATCCTATCTGCACTCCCATGGTTATTGACAACAATATTATCATATGGAATTTTATGAAAATATCATATAAATACATTAATACTGTTCTGTTGATATACGAGTAGCTTTTTAACCGTAGTTCATTGTAATTCTATTCTACTATACTTGAAAACTCTTTTCTATTAGATCTTTCCCACTATTGACCTGGTATTGGAAAGAATCTCATATATCTCGGGTTCAGTTAGCTGCGATAAAAGTACCGCGGATGACTTTCCGTCGATTGACTTATTTCTTGGAAAGCACGTAGATATTGGACGGGGAATCGCGACCGACCCTGGCCGAACTCCAGTTTCGACGCGACCCCACGTTGACCCGTTAATCTAGATACTTGCCAGTCTCCAGTCTCGAATATCCTGGCTTATGACGAGTTTATTCGTGCGAAACAAATCCCCCGTTCTGTGCCAATCTTTGAAACATACCAACAACAAAAATGGTATCTCTCTGTGTCAGACATCGAAAAACTTCTAACAATTTTCCATCTCCGGATCGAGCAAGCGTGGAATACGTGGTGATCGAGAAACTTGAAAATTGGATATCCGGTTCGAATACGATTGCGATATCTCGCTGAATTGGGAGTGATTCGCGATCGATTTACAACTCCCGGAGCAGCCTCTGGTTTCAATACAAGCGCGCATTAATTGAAAGCAAACAATCGTCGACCAAGAAAAACAGACGAGCCGAAATTCGTATTTATGTAACTGCATTCCGTATTAGCTTTCGGAGAAACCCTAATACGAAAAAAAAAAAAAAATTAGAAATATCTGACGGTAGGTAACGAGTTAAATATTTTCTTGTTACAGGAAACATGGTGCAAGAGGTGGTGGCACATGTCTCAAAGAAACTTATCCCTGACGACGAGCTTCCTTGCTCCGAGCTTGAGTCCTATTCTGGCGATGGGAATGGAGGATCCGAAAGCGAAAGAAAAGAAGACGAGATTAACGAAAGACGATAAGGCTGAGAAGAGCGCGGTTCCCGAATGCGCCGAGGGTGGTGAGTCAATCGAAGCTAACAAAAGTATTTTTATCTGCGAACGCTTTTCAAAACGTGTTACAGACGTTAACTGCACGGCTCCGTAAATAGAGTGATATATTTAGGTTTATGTGAATTCTGCTAACGTTCGACGGTCGGTATAAATTAATTTTCAGATGACACGGCCTGTCTACAAATACAGCGATTTGATCAATGTTAAGAATATGAAATGTATATTTCCTGGCGCTTTTGAATGAAAATCAAATAGTTTCATGCTAACAGCAATTTAAACTTGTTTATTTGTTATTAAATATTTATTTCCTGGCGAAGTAACAATCTATGCAGCTTCGTTATGTACAAATTGTTCGACTACAATGAATCGTTAAAATTCCATCGCTCGATATCATTGGAATTCAAATCTGCGTTTACGCTTAACTGAATCTGGCTCGTTGCTAAGAAACCTTGAATATAAATAACAACTGTACATCTCTCTACTCCGGTATTCTCAAACGAGTCAAACATCGTTTCAAAAAACCAGAGCATAATTGGATCACGCTTCTGGGAATCGTCCCAAGCATCGTTTGGGAATACCACAAAAGTATCTCTATTCGCGTACTACTGGATCCTTTGGCATTCTCCCACGCTCTACTAGAAAAAAAAAATACCAAATACATAGTGGGAATGTTTTATCTCTTCAAGAAGTCTCCATACGTTGGCCCTCGCTCCCGTTTAGACTATCTTCGAGTACCTCGAACTCTTCGAACTCCATCTTGCCAAAATCGTCGCCAGTCCTCCAATTGTTCTCGTTCACTTGCCATCTAGTCAAAGCACTGCCTATGAATCGACTGGGATAATTCGACTTGGCGTCTTCCAGGCTGCCCAGCTTGAAATCGACCTTGAAACCCTTCGCTTCCCTGCTCTCATCTTTCTTCGGCTCCAACCCTATCACTACAGGTGGTTCCCTCTTAGCTTCAATATTTTCCACCTCTTCCTCCACCTTAACTTCGTCCTTCTCTTGCTTATCAAGAGTGGTTATCTCTATACTGGGAGTCTCCGCTATAGTATAATGACTTAGATCGGGTTGATTCTCTCGATTGCGATGCCTCAGATGATTTTCCACGAGCCTGCCAGTGAGCTCCAATCTACTATCGCAGGAATTGCTCTTAACTAATCGAAATTTTACATAATCATTTGTTCCGTCGATGCACTTGAATCTGTTCTCAACGACCGGTGATATCAATGGTCCGTTGCTAGAATTTACAACCTTGCCCCCGTAGTAAGTAACTGATGTCCCGTACTCGCGAATCTTCTTCAATACATCCTGGGACACGTAGTGGCTCGGACCGCGGCTCTCGTTCGCCTCTTCCTCGTGACAATCGGCGTCCTCGTCCTCGGAAGATGTACACTGTACTCCGCTGCCGGGATCAGTGTCCGGGTAATCGCTGGACACCCCAGAGCTCACACTCCCAGCGTCCCAATTGTGATGGTGGTGGTAGCGATTCATCTTGTTTTTAGAAGAAGTTGAATCGCTCGGCGACGTATGACCGCTCCTTGCTTCGAAGCTCTGTGCGAGGATCCTGGTTTTGGACTCGCACCGGGGGCTGTCCAACTCGTCCTTGCCACCCACCATGGACGCATTCGAGGACGTCGATTTCTCCATGTTTTCGAACAGTTTTGTAAGATCCTTAGCCCTGCTTGAACATCTGGACCTAATACAATAATCTTTGTTAAATGAAACTCAAATTCTGCGATGCAATCTTATAAAATATATAAAAAGAAGATATCATACGTTACCTGGTTCTCTCGTGCGCCTTGTCAGACATCTCGTCAAAGTGGCCATCAATGGTGCTAAGATCTTTCATGCTGACACTCTTCCTATTATTCTTGCAATCGCTCGACAATTCCGAATTGTTCTTCACCTTGAGCGGGTTCTCAAACATACGCCGGACGTTTCTTACCGTATCTGGGTCAGGCAGTTCCTCATCTATCAATTCCCGATTCACTCTGATGGGATGGTAGAAGAAGTGCTTTTTGATGGACGACTGCTTTGGGCTCTTGGGTTCAGCGCTCTCACAGTTCCTTTCTGGTTCCACGTCAGTTTTCTTCTGTATCGCACCGGCAATTTTGCAGCTGGGCTCAGACCTCGCTTTCCCAACGGTGGATGGTTTTCTTTCTATGGTCTCAGCGCGCACCGGCTCGATGATCACCACGTTGTTATCCAGGAGTAATTCTTGAAACGAGTACTCCCGGAGATAATGCATCAACCCTTCGTACGTAACATCGCCACGAGCGCTGTTGTATATATTCTTGCCAAACATGTTGGACTTCACGATCTTGTAACGAACGTGGTCGAACTCTTGTCCATCTTCCTGGCACTCGATGGACTCAAGGCAGCTCTTGGATCTAGTCAAATTACTGTGTTTCTTATTATCATCGTTCTTCGATTCTTTATCCATGTACGAAGGATCCTCGTCGATTCCATCATCCACGGATCTTCTTCGGGTGTCACTCCCGGATTCGGAGCCAAGGCCTAGATCAGAACTCTCGGATCTAGCTTCAAAACCTAAGCTCCCTTTCACGACACTGCAAGCCTTTCCAATGATGTTCGATGTTTCTTTCACGATCCTCTCGAATCTGCCTTCATTCGGTTTCCCCTTGGTTGACGTGCTCTTCGGTTCAAAGAAGCTCTTCGTGTTTTCCACACTCGGATTTGCTTCTTCCTGTTTTACAAACTGAAAGGAGAATAAAAAGCAGTAATAAATGATGCACTGTCTGCTGGTTTTAGTAGAGAATTTCGTCCCATTATATGAAGTACACGTGAACTGTCGTAGCGATTACATACACTTAACAATATTAATATAGCTATTACCGAGAATCAAATTAATTTCTGATTTGTAATAACAAACAATGAGACGAAATATGATATTGGAGAAATAAAACAAATAATACTCAATGCTCACCTCCGGATTTTTCAAACTCCCATCGACGTGATCGATTTTCCCATTTAGTATTCCTGGATCATGGTCGCTGGACTCTTGCCCATCCGGCTGGAGCTTATCTCTCGATTCGGTTTCCACGGATGGTCGCTGATGACACCTCTTGGTCACGTCGTTATCGACGATCTTGAGCACCTGTGGCCTCCGTGACATGTCCTCCTGTTCCTCGCTATCAGAAATCCAAATCGACTTATAGTCTTCCGCTTCCTCCACTTTCCGGCGCGTCGTTAGCTCCTCATCGAGCTCACGCTCTACCCTTTCAACGTATTGTCTCCTCGCAGGCGAGTTCCGATGACAAATCGTCAGTTTCCCTTTGTTCTCTGAATTTTCCTGAACCTTAAGACACGATTCCCGATTCACTTGCTGTTGAAGCGAATCCTCTCTGGATTCCTGCGAAGAATCAGCTTCCCTCCGTTGATAGTCCTCTTCCGAATTCTCTTTCGAATCAATCTCCTCCGTGGTAGTGCTCACTTTACATTTCTCCTCGTCCGTGGCGTTGCTTCTTGTGGAGCTCCTCTTCTCCACGACGCGTGATGCTAGATACTCGAGAGGCTTTAACTTACTCCTTTTCGGGATCGTCTCGTTGCGGTGAGAAAACTTGTTTTTACGCGCGTCCTCCGCGTCGAACTCTAATCGCACGTTTGACAGTGGTAACAAATTCAGAACGTCGAAGTATTCCAACTCGCCGTCGTCCTCGAAGAGGATGCTGTCCAGGCTCCGGTGCTCCTTCCGTTTACGCTTCACCTAGAATCAGTTAAAATCAACACTATTATAAATCATTCCCAGACTGCGGATTGATATGTTTATGTGACAATGAAAATGTATTTTATTGTGCATAAAAATTCGCAGTTCATTCGTTACAAAAGACTGCACGACGTGTGCACGATCCTTGTTGATCTACACCTGTACCTTTATACAAGATACACCTTGCATATCATCGCATAATCTGTATCATGCAATTTATCGTTCGACTGAATCGATATTCCGTCAGTCTCGAGATAACCGCCGTTAGCTCCGGTTTCTCGTACAATACCATAAGAGATAAGACCTCAATTTATCTCCTGGGATTAACCCAACACGAACGTGCTTCAACTGTTATGAATGCATTTTATGAAGGAAGAACACAATGCTTGTAAGATGTATAAAAACTACCTATCCTTGATCTTAACACAATTTATGTGGGGTATATTGCACCGCAAACGACACCCGCTCTCTACTGCAGATCTACTAAATAGCTGCTTTTACGTGACCCACGCTCAAGCGATAGATCGTAAAAAACGTAAAAGTGTGTAACCCGACAACGATGTGTTAAGACAATTATAAAAGGTTGAACAAATGTAGGTAGTTTACCTGAGTATAAATGCAATCGATGCTGCGATTGCCTTCGATGGGCCAGCCGTCTTCGACGACGTCCACCAGCCCGCTGACCGTGTCCAACCCCTGGACGCTGCGATAGCGTCTGGGCGATTCTGGCCAATCGAGGATGTTCAATCGATCAGGATCTGTCCGACTGCCTCGTGGTTGATGCAACGGATCCGGAAACGCGGCTAGCTCAGCTGGGATCGAATGGAGACCGCAGGCAGATCGAGATTGATAGGATTTAGTCTCGTTGAATCGTTCGTAGGAGTCCGATAGGTGTTGCTGGCTTTTGTACAACCTGAGTCGAGAAATTGGATCGAAATTAGAATGACAGTATTGTTCTTGGAGCATGATTTATGAATCTCCCATCTCCGTTTTCGTTTCTTGTATCGTGGAATGACATTTTGACCGACTGCAATTTTTATTCGAAGCAGTGGCTGCATTATTAAAAATAGTGCCAGATGTTTCAAGTCGTATATCATGTCTGGTGCGAATCGAAAAAGAATAAAAGCTCCACGAATTGTTTTCTGCGATTCATAAAATTTTTTGTAAAACAGTTTTTCAGGAACCTTGGATTTAATTTAGTGCGTTAAAATAGAGATTTGTTAGATCGTTGATTTTCGAAAAATACTCTTCCTGTTGTACAATAAATTCGTAAACCAAACGGTACTCGTAATTACAGTTTGAAATGCGATATTTGTACTGTATCTGGATCTCGATTAAGTTGGCCGCGCGTGTGGTATACTGATTGGGAACCTAATTGCATGGAATAGGTGCTATTCTCGGTGAGAACGTGCGAAAAATCCGTCTGCCGCGGAAAACGATGCAAACAGAGCTGTTACTGCAATTAAAAGCCTCGAACGAGGCTCGTTACGCTAACGCGTTCTCCATGCTAATTATCGTTTCCTAATAGAACAGTTTTTCTTGCCAACCATGAATCTGTTACGCCTCGCCGCTATCTCTTCTCCAGTCAAACCAGGCGCCCTTCGATGATTCCGAATTCAAGATAGAAATTCGTAACCGTTTCTCAGTTTGTTTTTTCACCTAGCAAACTCTGCAGTGTATAGATGAATAATTTCAAACTTTGACACACATAAGGATTCTCGTTTTAACCGCATGAGTCAATAAAAAATACGACATACGATAATACGTTTCATGATTTTATCAAAACATGGTCTATATGAATTCATTATTTGATGGAGATCATTGTCCTTGTAATTTTGTTAGAGTTGATCGTAAAATCGATGGTCAATGGATGCATGAAATAATAATCGTTCTGAGCTCACCTGTCCTTCAGCGAGTTTCGATCGATTAGCTTGGCTCGCGGGATCAATTGATGCTGCCTGGGTAAATCAAAGGTCGACTGACCCAGCCTGAAGTGGCGGTGCGCCTCTCGATCGTGTCGGGATTCGTCCTCGGATATCACCGCAAGGCTCCTCGTACGTTTCAACAGCTTCCTGCGATCCTGCGTCGACTGACCCTCGTGTCGTCCCTCTCTACGATCCAACAATATTTCATTCGACCATTTGTCAATATTCGTCAAAAGCTTCTCTCGTTAATAACGCTTCGACCTTTACATTGAAAAAAAAGCCATATCGCTTCGTTCTATTAAAAAATTCTATCAAATGTATAGAAGTGAGAATTGTTGAATTCCAATATTTGGTGTTAGAAATTTTATTTTACTAAACTCTATACACGATAGACTTACAATTTACAAAGCAAGATGCATACAATTATACTTCCTAGTGTTAGACTTTAAACAATTGAAAAGATACGACTATAGATCTGGATCTGGTCTGAATGTCTCTAAAAATAAATCCTTTATTCTTTACAAAAGTTCGATAATGTGTCCTAAGAAGTTGTGGGGTGAGGAAAGGAACCAGTAAGAAATCTTAGAGCTAAAATACACGATCAAGCTATGATTCAAAGTTGATGAGTAATGGGCACATGGGTCACATACATACGTAATTAGGTACGGGAGATAGGATAGATGAGTGGAGGATTGCAAGCTAATATATCGTAATCCAATTAGTAAGCTATCAAATGTTTGCTAAACTAAAGCGGTATCCGACAGAACGTGTGTCTTCTCTTGTTGGTAGCGTCGCGAAACGATGATAGTATACCATTCATATCTGTCCTTTCAAAGGAAGTAGGAAATAGCATTACCAATGCACACACTACTGGGACCCATGCTCTATCTCCCGTCAATACTACATTTCAATAATGAATGAAACTGTGTACAGCACAGTATCATTGATGTATACAAAATTCTCTTGGGATTGAATGGTCGAAATGATCGCAAGCGCAAAGACGAACACAATTTTCAACTACAGGTACAGGAGTTATGTGGAGCTGCTTTTACTTTTATATTTACATATCAGAAGATTGAAAAATACGAATGGAATGAAAGATGTGAGAACGTTGCAAGTGTTTACTACTACGTCGACATAGGAAGTGTCAGTACTAAATCCGTGCAAATAGTTTATTCCTTGCACGAGACGCAATGAAAAATCGGTTAGAGGCACCGATGCATATTTCACTTTACGTAATCCTTGACGAAGCAGTCGACGACTATTCGGTGCCAGATTCAAGGCCCGACGTCGCTAACGCCAGAAAGATAAATTATGCGGCGTGACATTCTCTTGAAGAAGGAAATTTCATATCGCGTGAATCTGGGTCTAATTCTTTCGAGGAAATAAAAGTAACGCTGCATTCTTTCCTGAGCATCGAGGTCACGTTCACGCGTATCATAACTTTTACAACAATTAAAATGAAAACCGTGAAACGCAGAGGAGAACGGCAAACGAATTAAATAAAAATCGTGGAATGCAAATAAATTCTGCTGTACGCACGCGATTCAAGTCGTTAATGAGCAGAGTTAAGAGATCGCTCGCGAACAGGTGGAAATTCGCAACTGTGTTAATTAAATTCTGTATTTGACTAGCGAACGAGTGGTCCCGGCAATCATTCAAAGCCTTCTTATCAATAATTACACTTTTACCGGGTAATACTGGCACGTGAACTGTAATATTGTAATCAAACGAAGTAGTCACGCAAGCTTGCTTCATTCGAAAACTGAACCACGCCTTCACAGTAGAACTACTTGCTCGGCCAGCGTTGACAGAAATTAGAATCTGTTACGAGCAACTCTTTAATAAAAGTAAAATTTCCAAGATTTATAACGATAGGTAAGGAGTAATGGGAATCAGGAACTGGAACGCGTTTGGAGAGAGTAATTAGACCAATCCACCGTGCGACACTGTAAAAGGCCGTCGCGAAATTCGTGTCAAGATTGCTTTCATGACGAAATGCACAAACTCAGCGCTTGCCATTCGCATACAAACGAGATTCGTATGATACAGCTGTTTCAAGTACCTTGATCATAAAGTATCGCTCGAGTATATAATGTGCAGAGTAACAATAAAAACAGAAAATTATCTTCATTTCCCACATTAAACTTTTAATGTATGCCGGCGAAATACTCCGTTTTTTGCATTCTTCTTACTGTCTCGATCAATTTAACTTCGCCTATCGAAAAGTGATTTACCTCTGTCCCCAAGGAGATTGCTTCGAAGTTTAATATCGAACTTTCTCTCTTCACTGATTCGATTTTAATGAATCTTAGAAAAATCGGTATTACTTAATTTCAAAATATCGGACAGATGACTGTAAGTAGTTAAACAGGGTTAAAACAAAATCTGAAAATGTCCTTGGAGATGGCTGTAATCGGATTTTTAGTTTGCTAACTTTCGTTCCCTCGAGCGGTATCGAAAACCAATACTCTATGACGTATCCTCGGGACGCAAAAAAAGAATCGAGGAAAGCGATTGTTTTTTTGTGAGCGTGGCTAATAACTGGCTCAAGACCGCTGGTTTTTCCACTCGAGCAGCCAGAAACTGCAAGTCAAACGTCCTTTCGAACACGGATCCTTGAGAATAGGATGCAAATGGCGTATCGTCTCATTGTGTTCGGCTGACCACGGCGAGGAATCGTTACGTAACTTTTTTTTGTTAAGTTATCTCTCCTTTTACGACCCGCCCTCGTCTCTTTTCTGTTTTCGATACTATTAGAAAATGTTACAGACGTTACAACGTTTCGTACCGTGACCGGGTTTCGTAAAAAGGCTTTCATTCAAAGTATCTGTTGCATCGATTCTTTGCGGGACGGTGGTCAAACGAATTTGAAATCAGGAATCGATAGATCTTCCAATTTGTTCGGTGAACGAAAGATCGATCGCGTAAAGCTCGCCCCAGTGACCTCAACAGGAGGTTTACTTTTGTTTCATATCACACAGGTTTCGCGACTTCAACCGAGAAGAACGACGCACGCGACAAGAAAAACTTTTCTTTCACAATTGTGATTGGGATCGGCAAATCCTTCAAGGGTAATCGATACAACCCATTTTCTTTCACACGAAACCGTGAGCTAAAAAATACGATGGCTTCTCACTCTATTACGTTTTCTCGCACAAAATGAGAAAACTTGAAATTTGTTCTATCGATCATTTATTTTAGAACGAAATAAGCGGTTTAGGTTTATTATCGTTCAATTTTAAAATCAAATAGTGTCGGAAGGGTGAGATCGTTCGAGGGACTTAAGTTTAAGCTTTAAATTTCGCTTCGCTAATCCTTCGAACTTCGAACGAAGTTACATAACAGTTTCCTTAGATAAAAGTTCGAGTTTTATGACACAGAATCATTCTGGTTTATGACCTGTTAAAAAGGTGCGGACATAAACGACGTCGAATTCTACACGAGTTTGTTTACTTCTTTACATATTTTTATTCAACACCGTCGACTATGCGCGAGGATATTGATACAGGCTTCCGGTTGATCGGGCGTAGATCATTGTACTCGTGTAGCCACAAAGGAAAGGCTAGAGTACTGTAATACGTACGAGAGAAACGCGGCAGGAATATCCTATGACACAAACCGGAAGAAGTTCCGCGGTCTGAACAGTCGATGGTTCGCATCTATAGCCGATAGAAAACGGCACTGTTCACGGGTCAAAGAAGTTTCAGATCATCATTGATCGGGACTCGATGTTCATTGTGCGAGCTCCATTGTTAAAACCAAATAAAAAGATTTGGTCACATCGACGATATTATCGTTCTTCTGGACCTTACAGATTTTTGTTCCAATACGAAAACTACACTTTGCAATCTTCGATAATACCAATTGATTCTTAAGGAGCAGAGAATTCGTTTAACCTTGAAAAAGCAGTTCTAAGTGCATGCGGAAAAACAGGAACGATGTTTGCTATCGAGACTATATTTAATGTGTGCACCGTTAACGCGAGTTAGCAGCAAAGTGCGAACAGTTTCTAGCAAAGATAATCTCGGTAACTACTTCTGACGTCAATTTTTTTGTTCATCTATACCAGTTGACTTACTGACCTTCATTCAAAAAGAACGGATATTAAAATCTGACACGACTATCGAACAAGAAAAATGTAAAAAAAGGTAAATGATTTAATGGTGCAAGGTTCAATGTTCTATATAATGGAACTTGATTTACAATGAACCTAATTAAAATTCACCTGTAGAGTACTCAATGAGAACTCTAATATTGAAATTCGCTCTGCAATCAAAGAACAAAAACTCAAACTTCCGAATTATGGAACCGCATCTTACCTTACTAGTTAATGAACTCTCGGCTTCGATTTCCCAAATGTGACGATTAGAATCGAAAAATGCTACGAATTCACTCACGGAAGTTCTCGGTCCAGGAGCAGATTATCAATAAGTAAGTACCCAGTTCGAAATTGTCCACGACTGAGGACGATTTATCGACACCCCGGCTTTTCACTTTCTCGTTCGCGCATCGACTGCGCGGATATCTGACTCCGGAGCCGATCGCCACCGTGTGCACCTGTTCCCTCAACAGGACAACGTGTCTCCGCTCGGATTGTCCATCCGTAGTGGGAGTACCGTACACCTTAGCCTTAGGATATGACGTCACTCCATGGTTAGAGACAACCGAATCGCTGATCCTTGACGAGACTTTTTTTCATACGAGACTGAAAGATCGTAGAGAATTGATCGCAGAAAGTCGTCAGCATATGAAATTCGTATGACAGCGTATGAAGAAAACTTGTAAAATTTATTTCACATAGCGTTCGAACAATTACATTATTTTGCGTTTAGCATATAATGGAGTTTAACGATTGGCGAAAAAAATGAACGCCCCCACAGGAGGACGATTATTATTCCGAGCATCGAGGATGACGTGTCAGGGGCGTCCCTTCAACAATGCTCAATGGCGAAGGACTCTTGCTAGATACGATCGGAGTCGTAAAAGTCGAGGGTCAAATGGCAACGACCGTGTGCCATATTCACGCAGGATTTAACAAGGTTACATTTTCGAAACGGAACGAAAAATGAATTGTCGAGGAACCCTCAAAGAAAATCTTCTCCCTAACGCGATATTAAGTTCAGTGATAATTATAAAGAACTATGAACTGAATAAAGAAATTATTGTAAAAATGTTCGGACGCA